TCAGGGACACCCTAAACCTCCCCTGGGGCAACTTGGGGCCCTTTCCTCTTGTCCTGTCCCTTGTTCCTTGGGAGCAGAGCCCGACCCCCACTTGGCTCCAGGCTCCTGTCAGGAGCTGTGCAGAGCCAGAAGGTCTCCCCTGAGCCTCCTTTGCTCCAGGCTCAGCACCCCCAGCTCCCTCAGCTGCTTCTTGTAAGATTTGTTTCCTAGACCCTTCACCAGCTTCATTGCCCTTCTTTGGACCCCTCCTTCCCTGGACCTTGCCATCCTCCCCTGCAAGCTAAAAGCTTCCATGATCTGTGGCACTGCCAGGGGCACATGCCTGGCATTCAGAGTTCCCCTACTCTGGAGGGAGCCCTGGTGGTGCTGGATCTGAAAGGTCAGCCTGCATAGCCCTTAGCTGGGATTTCCCATGGGCAGAACAGGATACTTTGCTCAGTCAGAGCAGAAAGTCCCCAGAGTTGGCTGTGGGCATCCCCAGGCTCCCTGCCAAGGGGAGGGGCAGGGGCTGGGGAGCAGCAAGCTCACCAGGAAAACAAGAAGGTAACAAGAAGACTGGAGAGACCCCGGGGCTCTTTCTGTGCCACAAAACCCCAGGATCAAAAAAACTCAGGAGTGGGGCCAGGCTTCATCTCTGCTGCATCGTTCCCTGACCAGAGCTGACTTCAGGATTGGGTCTGAGAGCGCTGGAAAATTCAGCTCTGGCTGCAAACTTTGTGTCTGAGCCTTGTCATCTGCACTGGAAGGAAATCTCTGCCTCCCTCTGAAGCATTGCCTGGCCACTGACCAGCGTTTGGCTTCTGCAGCCAGTTCCTGTATTGACTTCACCTCAGCGGTGCAGATAAGGTGCTGGGCAGCTGGACAAAGGTCTCCTCTCCCCCTTCAGCTTAACTCTTAGCACGCCAGGGTGCTGCTGGGCACCAGCCCATCACCGCAGCCAGAGGCAGTGGGGGGAGCATCCAGCTTCCCCAGCACAAGGGACCACCCAGTGTCCCCAGACTGGTCAGCAGTGAGAGGTAGCCCAGCCTGGACTCGACCAGGACAACTTTGGTGCCATGTGCTCTTGGGGTCCCAGAGCTTCCCACAGCTTCTCGGTGGGTTTTGAGTGGTCCTCCCCAATCCTCCTCTGCACACACAGCAGATGCTCAGGAGATGTTGCTCCAGCAAATATTGAGTCCCCTGGGGAGCAGAGGTGGCCAAACAGCCGTAGGGAGCAGTTTAGTCACTCAGATGCCTTTTGCTTCCCCCCCTCACCCTCCCTGCCCAGCCAGCCTTGCCACAGGGCACAGCCCATCCTCCCCGTGGCCACTCAAGCCTCTCCTCTGGCCGTGGCTGTTCCCAGCCTGTGTTTCCTCGTTCCCTAGCTGCGAGATCTTCCTCATAGTCACAGGGCACAAAACGCACGCTTTGTTCCTCAGAATTGCTGACTTGCTCGAGTATTCAGGACAGGATTGTAGCTGTGGTTGCAAGAGCTGCTGCTGAGCAATGAGGCCTCTCCACCTCGTCTGTACCAGGGCAAAGCTCACGCAAGGACACAATGGAGAGCAAGAGCTTTTGGAAAATCCCTCTCCCTGTGACACCAGACACAAAGCTGGAGCTGGTGCTGAGCCCGGGATGGGTGCCCGACGGGTACAGCCCCTCCTGCCCGAAAGCAGAAGTGGCTGCAGGGATCAGCTGTGGCAACACAGCCACAAAGCCCATCTCCACCGGCGTGAGAGGCATCCATCATCTGACCGGGTGAGCAACCTCCATCCCACCAGCCCTGCAGGGACACGTGGAGAGCAATGAGGGCAGAAGTTACCAGGGGGCAGGGGGGGGATGCTGAACAACAGTCTTGCTGCAAGGGCAAAGGTGAAGCAGCATGATGGAACTAGGCTGAAAATAGGGATTAGGAGAGATCTGCTCCAGGGAAACATCAGCCTTTTACCCACCACTGGTGAGAACTGGCTTGGGTGCTTCTATCTCAGCTCCTCCCCACGCTAGCCCCGTGGGGGAAAAAACAGATTTTTCAGGCCAGACAGGTCCCAAAATTACACCTAGGAAGGAGGAGGAGGAGGGGTTGTCCTGCTGAGTGCAGCAATCTTCCCTGAGATCCCATAAGGGATGTCTACAGAAAATAAAATCTACAAAAGTGAGAGCAACCAGTGGAAAAGCAAAAGCTGGTGGGCTCGGAGAGACCCCACATCCCCTGGGACACAGAGGGAGGATCTGGGGGGGTCCTGGGTGCAGGGTCCCTCTGAGGCCACTGGTGGTTATTGTTCAGGGTGAGGGAGCCAAGAGGGTTCAGAGGTGGGGGCAGACTCTGCTCCCAACCCCCAGCTCCCCTAGAATACTTGGCAGAGACTCAGGACCGCCGGGGGCACAGCGCTCCCTTGGCAGCCACAGCCAGGTGGGTTTTCCCATGCCAAAGAGCTGTGCCCACCACCCCGATGCTCAGAGACACATCCAGAGGCTTCCTCAGTCGCTCCATCGTGGCAGCTGAGATGCTCAAAATCCCACTTGAGGGCTGGGCACATTATCCTCCTGGAGCTGCCACCAGCTCTGGCTACTGGGGATTCCATCCCAACACAGTCCCCTCCTTTTGGGGTGCTTGTGGGATGCTGGCATTGACTGTGGGTGCTGAGTGGGAGCCCCTAGGGAGGGGGGCTGCAGGGGTGTGGCACAGTGCACCGAGGAGCTGCGAGTGCTTCCCACCCTGCCCCTCTCCTGCCTG